GCCCACCCCCCTGTTTGCCCGGCCCGCCCCCGCCCCGCCCCCTGGGCTCCCTGGCCCCGCCCCCTGGGGCTCGTGCCCCCAACGGGCACACACCGGAACTCCTCTCTGGGCTGGGATGCAGGACCACGGGCACACATGGGAACTCACAATCGGAGAATGTCAGGGGTTGGAAGGGATCTCTGAAGATCTCCTGGTTTCAGCCAGGATGAAGCCAATTTTCCTTTTACTGATTATTTCTCCTTCAGTAAGATTCCTTTTAACTAACACCAGAGCGTTCCCACTAAGGCTGGTGACACTGGGATGTGTCTCTGACTGCTGGGGCTTCCAGGTCACATCTTCTCTCTGCTGGCTCAGACGCTACAGGGAGATCTCTGACCCCCCTGTAAGTGGCTGAGTTAGACAGAGCAGAACTGGCCAGAGAGATTCCATTCCATGGAGCTACGTGAGCTCAGAGGAAGGACAGAGTGCACAGATCTCTTGTTCCCCAAGTTGAGTCTGTTTTTCCTGGGACCTTAATCAGTGAAGATCTCTCCTTGTTCTTTGTCTCGACCCAGGAGCTTTGTCCTCCCCATCCCAGGGTGTGTGTGAGGAGCTGAGGGAGGAGCCACGGGGCTGGTTCTTTGTTGTGTTGGGCCCAAACAGGACAGGGAGAGCTGCACGTGTGTGTGTGTGGTCACGGGTGGACATGGGTGTGCATGTGCATGTGTGTGTGTGCTGGTGTGTGTGCAGGGGTGTGTGTGCAGGTGTGTGTGTGCTGGTGTGTGTGCAGGTGTGTATGCTGGTGTGTGTGTGTGCAGGTGTGTGTGCAGGTGTGTGTGTGCTGGTGTGTGTGCACGGGTGTGTGTGGATGTGTGTGTGCGTGTGTGTGTGTGCTGGTGTGTGTGCAGGTGTGTGTGCTGGTGTGTGTGCTGGGGTGTGTGTGCAGGTGTGTGTGCAGGAGTGTGTGCTGGTGCACATGTCGCACACACAGACGTGTTGGTTCCTCAGACCTCCTCACAGACGTGTTCCCTGCTGGGGGGGGTGTGTGTGCACGGATCCACACCAGCCTGGGGGTGCACACGTGTGTGTGCGTGTGCAGTGGGGTCCCTGGCAGGGGGTGCACACACGTGCAAGTGCCCATGGCCCCCCACCTGTCCTGCCTCATGTCTCACCTCAGTCGCCCAGTTCCAGTTTCAAGCCCCTCCCTGCTGAGTTGGGCATCGTGAAGGTTGGAAGAGACGTCCAAGGTCACGTCCAATTGTCACCCAATCACCACAACCACAGAATGTTCCATCCTGAAGCACCACATCTAAGTGTTTCCTGAACATCTGCAGGGATGGTGGTTCCACCACCTCCCTGGGCAGCCCATCCCAGGTCCTCACCACTCCCTCAGGAAAGACACTTCTCCTCATACCCAGCCTGACCCTTTCCTGGCACAACTTGACCCGTTTCCTCTCATCCTATTGCTGATTACCTGGAAGAAGAGACCACAACCTCCCTTCAGGCAGTTATGGAGACCAAGAAGATCTCCCCTGAGCCTTTTCTTCTCCAGACTAAACACCTCCAGGTCTCTCAGCCTCTCCTGGTACCATGTGCCCTCCAAAGCCCTCCCCAGCCTCGTTGCTCTTCTCTGGACACTCTCCAGCACCTCCACGTCCTTCTCATCCTGTGGTGCCCAGACCTGCCCCCAGTGCTCCAGCTGTGGCCCCACCAGTGCCCAGCACAGGGCCAGGATCCCCTCCCTGCTCCTGCTGGTCACACCATTCCTGGTGCAGCCACGATGCCGTTGGCCTTCTCGGCCACCAGGGCACACTGCTGGTTCATGTTCAGCCCTCCACCAGCTCTCCCAGATCCTTTTCCACGGGCTCCTTCCCAGCCTCTCCTCCCCCAGCCACCAGCCCTGCTTGGAGTTATTGGGACCAAAGTGCCTTTGGTCTTGTTAAACCTCAGCCCATCGACCTAAGCTGTCCAGGTCACCACTCATTGCAGTTCTCCAGTCATGGCCATCATCCCACCACGTTCCTATGTCCCAGCTGTCCTGCTGCTCGGTGGCCTCCAGCTCCTCCTGTTCCCTGCCCGTGCTGCCTGCATTGCTGCAGATGCACTTCAGCTGGGCCAACGATCCTGCCACCACTCTGGGGAGAGAAGTCCTCACTGCTGTCTGACTGTTCCCAGCCACTTCCGTGGTCACTGACCTATGTGTGAGCCCTGTGGTTTGTTCCCATGTGTCTCCCCATCTCCCACCTCAATGGAGGGTCACCTGAAGGACCCCTTAGGCTCATTTCTGGTGGGCCTGATTTTACCCCCTTCTCCCTCCCAGCTTGGTTTGAATCCCTTCTAATGAACTCCATCAACTCATGCACAAGGCATCTTTCCCTCGAGACAGATGTGCTCCACCAACCCAACCTGCTGAGGAGCTCAAAGGAACATCGAGTGCTTTGAAAGGTTGGGACTCAAGGTTCTCAGCAATGAAAACAAGTTTTAAAAGGTAAGAAAAGCAAGAATCAATTGTATTAAAAGAGTTTTGTGGATTTTTCTAGCAGCCTGTGAGAAAACCAGCTCTAAGAAACCAGAGAGGTACCTGGAGAACTCTGTAGAGCTTGGCCAGAAAGTCCTGCCACCCTTCCAGCCCAAGGGGTTGGAGCAGCAGGTGCAGGGCTGGGTCAGAAGATGTGGAACTTCAAGCCAGGACCCGAAGGGCAGGAGTGGGCCACGTAGAGGGGCTACGTCCCAGGGCTGCTCAGCGACCGCCACCAGCAGCGGCACACCTGGCTGAGGATGAAGACACCGGTGATGATACCGTAGCTCATGCCGATGGTCTTGATGGCGTAGATGGTCTCGGGGTCATAGAGCGTCCGCCGGCGCCGCGGCGGGAAGGTCACGCTCAGCCGGAACCCGGCCACCATCTTGCCCTCCCGCCAGCAGAAGTAGGTGCCTCCATCCCTGCTCCGGACCCGCTGGATGTGCAGGTGGTTTCCGTGGTCAATGAAGAGCCTCATGCTCCTGTTGACGTTGATGAGGTAGCGGGAGCGGTAGAGCCGCATCGAGCCCTTGTCCCAGGCCACCGCGTGCTCGGGCCGGGCCCCCGGGCAGGCGATGATCAGGGTAGTGCCAACCAGCTGCTTGTGGAACTGCGTGGGGATACGGGGCATCCAGGGCTTCTGGCCCAGCTTGGCGATGACGTTGGAGATGGCCATCACCCCTTCCTTGGGGGCCTCCACCTTGGGGCAAGGGCTCAGGCAGCTTCGGATGGCCACCTCGGGCCTCCGGAGGTGCACGGCCTCCTGGAGCTGTGCGGGGACAGCCCTGGAGCCACAGGAGGTGACGTTGGGCAGCGCGGTGCGGTAGCGCGGGTGCAGCTGGGGGCTCTGCAGGTAGCACAGCCCCACCCGCCGCTGCTCGCCCCGCACCCCGCACCGGTCACACCTCGTCCAGTCCCAGAAGGTGGTGAAGAGCTTGAAGAACTCCCCCGAGTAGTCCTGCTGGACCTGCTGGCCTTTGTCCACAAAGGCCACCGAGATGTGGCTGCTGGGCTGCACGTCCACGTCGTAGCCGTAGAAGAAGTCCCCCCGCCTGGTGCCGCACAGGTAGTGGCCCGAGTCGCTCACCTGGGCCTTGAAGACAATGAGGCTGAACATGCGGATGCTGAAGCGCTTCAGGACGGCGCTGCCCGCCCGGGCGTGGCTCGAGGCCATGGCCACGGTGCCAGAGAAGTCGGTCAGGACGGTGACCTGCGGGCTGCCCATGTTCTTCTGGAAGTACCAGACCACAGAGGAGACCTCCTCGGGCTTGCAGTTGCAGGGCAGCTCGAAGGTCATGTCAGCCAAGTAGGCGGTGTTGTCCAACACCAGGAAAGCGGGACAAGGCGTCCGCTGGAACACGTCTCCTTTCTCCTCCATTGCAAAGCCCTGGAGAACATCCACCAGGGAGAGGAGAACAGCAGCCCTCAGCAGCCTGGTCTCCATGCTGCCAGGCAGCTCCTGCAGCCAGCAGAGCCCACCCACATGGGACAGCAGGAACCCACACATGGGGCAGCAGTGCCAGCACCAGGCAGGGACAGGGCCACACACCAGCAGGGTCACCAAGGATGGGGAGGAAAGACCTGAAATATCCCAGCCCAGCCAGGTATCTGCTGGGGTGCTCCTGTCCTCCAGGAGCTTCCAGAACCAGCTGTCCTTGTGACATGGGTTCCAGAACCTCTCCTCTCCCAGATGCAGAAGGTGCAGCCATGGGAAGCATGGTGGGAACAAGGGAACCACTGACGCTGTCTGGGAAGTCTCATGTGCAGGGAATGTTCAGTATTTCTCTGACCCTCTGAACACAATGAACCTGGAGGAGACCCTCCTGTGATGGCAGGGACCTCTAGCCCTGGAGAAGTTTCAAACATGCCATTTGGACATCTACAGCCCTCCTGTTGGTGCTCCAAAGGTTTGTGTGCTGAAGCCCCTTCCCAAAGGTGAAGACACCCCCAATGGAGTGAGGGTTTTTGTTCATGTCACCTTCTCTGGGCTGATGCTGGAACCAGCCCTGGAGGCCCTAAATGCTTCTCTCCTGCGGGGAGGGAGCTGTTGGTTTGTTGCTGCAAATCCGAAACTGTCTGAGATCACAGGCCCAAGAGGTGACAGGATCTCTGAGGTTTATCCACATCCCACTGGTTGGGGTAGAAGAACCAAAAGGCAGATGGTTGGACAGTCCCAGACACACCACTTCTCATGGCATTTTCACCCCATCAGCCCCTTCTGATTTCAGCAGCTTCACTACTAGACACCACGTGTCACTGCTCACAGCCCCTGGTGACAGCAGAAATGAAACAGGGAAGGGACTATTTTGGTTTTGGTTTCACCTTCAAAAACACCAGCCTAGTTTTCCTTTGTTCTCCTCATCTAAGAGATTCTCACTAAGCCACCCTGCAAGGACACACCAGCATCCTGGCTGGTACCAGCTGTGCTGTGGGCAGCAGGAGCAGGGCAGGGATTGTCCCCTGTGCTGGCACTGGTGGGGCCAGACCTGGAATCCTGGGGTCAGTTCTGGGCCCCTGGGGACAAGAAGGACACGGAGGGGCTGGAGCGTGTCCAGGGAAGGGCAAGGGAGCTGGGGAAGGGGCTGGAGCACAAGTGTGAGCAGGAGCAGCTGAGGAAGCTGGGGGTGTCCAGCCTGGAGCCAAGGAGCTGAGGGGAGACCTGCTGGCTCTGCAGCTGCCTGAGAGGAGGTTGGAGCCAGGGGGGGTCGGGCTCTGCTCCCCAGGAACAAGGTGCAGGAGCAGAGGAACCGGCCTCAGGTTGTGCCAGGGGAGGCTGAGGTTGGACCTTGGGAACAGTTTCTCCCTGGCAAGGGTTGTCAGGGCCTGGCCCAGGCTGCCCAGGGCAGGGAGGGAGTCCCCATCCCTGGAGGGGTTTCCAAGCCCTGGAGATGGTGCTGAGCGACACAGGGCAGTGGTGGCCTTTGCAGGGCTGGGAGAAGTGATGGACTGGCTGAGCTTAAAGGCTTTTCCAACCCAAATCCTTCCATGACTCTGTGATCTATGACACCTGCCCAGGGATCACAGCACAGCTGTCTCAGAACTGACGTTTATTTCTGCTGAACTCTTGCTCTGGGTGGCTCCCAGACACAGAAATGTAGCAACACTCCAGAAGGATCCAACTGAACTATCTCACATCAGGAGGCCCAAGTCCAGCTCTAAGCCTCCTTTAACTTCTGGTTCTGTCCGACCCTGGTGCTTCTGCTCCTTCAGTTCACCTGGTAACATTTCATCAGCTCCACCACCATCCTCTCCTCCTCAGATTCCTCTTGCAGGCTGGTGTCCATCAGGGATTCACAGCTGGTGGGGCTGCCAGGATGGCCAGTGCTCTGGTCCTCCCTGCTGGTGCTCCACAGCTTCCTGAACAGATCCCTGCTCTTCTCCTTCTCCGACTTGCTCAGAAGATCCACGTTCAGCCCGAAGCGCTTGGTGCCCGCCAGGCTCTGCAGGATCTGAAGGACAGCTCCTCTGTCTTCACCACAGACATTCTCTGCCAGCACTGTGAGGAACTCCCCCAGGAGGCCAAAACCCAGGTCAGCCTGAAAGATTCTGCCCAAGGTCTCCCCTCCAAGCTCCAGCAAAAACTGGTATTTTTCTTTCCCACTTTGGAAGCACCTGCGCCAGTCCCTGTAAAACTCAGCAGAGGTTCCAGGCAGTCGATCCAGTTCCTGAAGGAAAAGCAAACAGTTCCCGAGTTCCTTTTGTTTTGTCTCCACTTTAAGATTTTTATCCCCCCATCCCTGACCAACCTGTGGAGGGTCAAGAGAATTTTACAACAGGCTTTGGGAGCACAAAGGGCTGCATGAAGCTTGGGGGGTGGCAAACCAAGGAAATCCCAGGTTCCTCAAACCCTGTAAAGACCAGAGAACTTCAGGGGGAAATAGTGGAAGGATGGATGAGACATGAAAACTCATGGACGGGTACAGACCAGTGGCAGAGGAGCCCAGGATCAGACATGTCCAGTCTGGATCCACCAGTGTCACTCATGAAGCTGCTTTGGTTGATAAGAAGGTCACCATGGCTCAGCACCATGTGCTGGAGCCCAGAACCCACCCGTGTCCTGGGCTGTGTCACCAGCAGCGTGACCAGCAGGGCCAGGGAGGGGATTGTCCCCTCTGCTCTGCTGAGACCCCCCTGCAAGGCTGGGAACAGCTCTGGGGTCCCTAACACAAGAAGGACACAGAAAATGTGGAGGGAGGCCAGACACCACGGAGATGCTGGGAGGGCTGGAGCAGCTCTGCTCTGGAGCCAGGCTGGGAGAGTTGGGGTGTTCAGCCTGGAGAAGAGAAGGCTCCAGGGAGACCTTAGAGCAGCTTCCAGTGCCTGAAGGGGCTCCAGGAAAGCTGGGGAGGGACTTGGGACAAGGGCAGGGAGGGATGGGATGAGGGGGATGGATTAAAACTGGGAGGCTGAGGTGAGACAGGAGGAGGAAGTTGTGAGTGAGGGTGGTGAGACCCTGGAACAGGTTGCCCAGAGGTTTTCTCTAAGCTACCCCTGTCTCCAGGAGATCCCTTCATAGAATGAGAGTTTTGGGTTGAAGGGATCATCCAGTCCCACCCCCTGCATGGGCAGGGACACCTCCCACCAGCCCAGGCTGCTCCAAGCCCCATCCAACCTGCCCTTCAACACTGCCAGGGATGGGGCAGCCACAGCTTCCCTGGGCAACCTGGGCCAGGCTCTCACCACCCTCACAGCAAAGAATTTCCTCCTCATGTCTCACCTCAATCTCCCTCTTCCAGTTTTAAACCAAGACATTCTGGCCCGGGCACAGTCCACCAGAGGGGCAGGACAGATGTCACTCAAAGGACAAAGAACCTGGAGAGAAAATATTTAGTGTCTGTTTCCCATGAGTGAAGAACTAAGGAGCAGCCAGTGAATCCACCAGGCAGCAGGTGGACACAAACCAGCACTTCTCCACATGGTGCCCAACAGAAGAGTGGGGTGAAGAACCAGCTGTGCTGGGGCTGTGGGACAGCAGCTCCAGGGGCACCAGCCTGGCTCCCAACCTCCAAACCACAGCCAGCTGGAAGTGTGCTCCATGGAGAGCATCTTCCCCAGGAACCTGCTACTGGCCACCAGTCCAGGCTGTGCAGTGGGAGCTCTGGTCCTGTGGGTGCAGCTGGTCTGGGCTTCCCACAGGGCTGGAGCAGATGCACCTGGAAGCAGCTGGTGTGAGTTCATGTCTGATGGGAAGCAGGGGCCAAGACTGAACCTGGGGTGATCTGATCACCAAGGATCCTGGGGCTTGGAGGGCTTGTTCACGTGGAGAGATCTCTCTGAACAACCTGAGCGCTTCAAAATAACCCCCAAATTATTTTGGAGTCATTTTAGATGTGGGCAAAGTCCTGGAGAGCAGCTCCCTCACCTGGAGGATCTCCAGGTCGTTGGCTGGTGGCACCTGGGCTCGGGCTGCACAGGGGTTCCACACCACCCTCCTCGTGTCACCCAGCTTGTCCTTCTTCTCCAGGGGCTTCAGGTGTGATGCCAGCACGATGTCCCTGCAGGCAGCAAGAAGGGGATGGGATGGGATACTTCATGAGATCCAACACTCTGAGGCAACTTCTGGGTTTGGGCCACATGTATCATGCAGAGGGGCTGGGACAGGCAGGAGGGGCCCACGTGAGGCTCCCGAGGCTCAGCAAGGCCAGGGTTCTGCACCTGGGCTGGGGCAAAACCCCAACGTTGGCACAGGGTGGTGGGGGATGAAGGGATGGACTGAGAGCAGCCCTGAGGAGAAGGACCTGGGGCACTGGAGGTGAAAGACTCGGCCGTGAGCCCGAGAAACCACCCGAGTCCTGGGCTGTGACCCCAGGGGTGTGACCAGCAGGGCCGGGGGGGAATCTCTTCTCTCCAGGCTGAACCCCCAGCTCTCCCAGCCCGTCCCCAGAGCTGCCCCAGCCCTCCCATCAGCTCCGGGGCTCCTCTGGCCTCTCCCAGAAGCTCCAGGTCCCTGCTGGTGTCCCCCCCTCCCAGGGGGCTGTTCCCAGGCCGCTGGGTGAGCCGGTCCCCCCAGACCCCCCC